TGAGCATTTTTCTGCATTATCTTCAGATCCATGCTTTACCTTTTGCAAAAAGTATGTAATTTTAGATTGCTTGCTTCTAGTTAAAAGGTCTTTATAAATTTCCTTATATGGTGCTAAGCACTTATGAAAAATAAAGCAAGTATGGAATAAGGGAAAAACATTCGGCAACATCAGAAGCAGAAGCGTCGCGATCTGGCAACATTGAAACAAGTTTCGAGAAGGACCACGTGTATCGACAGAAGGCAAGAAGAGAAAATTTACGTACTTAAGTACTAATAGTTCACGAAAATAATAATTTTTGTGAACTACATTTCCTGTTGTTCGAGGGTTTTACCCAATTCTCAAACCGTGCCAGAGTGAATCCGTGCTATAAAACTACCGTGTTATACGGGGGATGGTACCAATTCTCGAACCGTGTTAGAGCGAATCTGTGCTATAGAAGTGCCGTGTTATACGGGGGTTACCTGTATATTAAAGTTCTTTACTGGTTATTAAAGGTTTTTAAGGTGTATAGTTATCATTTATACATATTCAGTCTGGTATAGAAGTTGAACGTAGTTATTGTTCACCATTGCACATGAATAATGTAATGGAAAAAAAAAATTAACACCCACGGTACCACACTTGTCATGCACAATATATTTCTGACAATGGATTGCGTAGCTCCTAAAGAAAATGTCAGCAAACATGAGTTACTGCACATAAAATGTTTATCTCTGAGAGATCTATCATGCCGCAAAGCTTGTCACAGAAGTCCTGAATCACCCTTATATAGTTATATTTTTCAAGTTAAATTTTGTTTTCAAAATATTAGAATGAATTTTATGTTATGATAGTATGAAAATTTGTAAATGGTTGTCTGATATCTTTTTGAAATAAATATTCAATTTGAAATTATATCAAAAATTACTATTTCAAATATTTTTTATGCTCTTGCTTCTAAAATCTTGTAGCTTACAATATATATCAAATTAAACTAGACATTTTCATTGCTTCATAATTTAATTAAATTTGCCACTTAATGAAGTATTGTTTTTGTAGAAGTTTAAACATTTTACAGGTGCGCTTCCAGCAATACATGTTCATATGATGATATCAAAATGAGAGAAACATATATTATCAACAGTTTTAAATAGCAACCAAAAATTATTAGTAAATTTCTGAAAAAATGGCATATTACTTTTAAGCATTTTGTGCTGTTTTGTAAAATTAAGTAGGTTAACTGCAACAATATAACTAATATCCATGTAATTAATACTTATTTAATAAATTGAAGTAAAATAAATCTTATCAATTTTCACAAAAACTGTAAAAGGTCAGATCAGAATAAAAATACAACGTTAGCATTAAATTTTTCAAATTTAAACAGATAATTATACAAACTGAAATATTTGTTTAACTCCCTATAACTTTGACAAATCATGTATTTTTAAAATATTTTTCAAATTCTATACAGAAAATTTATAATATGCACTTTTCCAATGAAATCAGTAATAAAAATTTATTAAGTATTTTTTGTTTATTCTGTAATTTAATTTACAGGTATATACTCACAGACAGAAGACACATTTTTCACAATCAACAGCCTTGCAACCTTCACAACGCTTACAACGGACTTTTCTGATTCGTACACTGTTTTCTTTGGAGTTGGGACTTTTTAACCCATTCTTTACATAAGTACTTGGTGATTTATTAAGATTATCTTGTTTTTCTGACTTTCGAATGATTATAACGTCTTTTGTATCTTTTTCCGATGCCCTTCTTATTAGCTCATCCACTGGAAGATCATCTATATCAAGAGAATCTTAAAGAAAAAGACATTTCTATTTAGTAAAAAATAGAATAATAATAATGTCCAAGTTTTAAAACTGAATAAAAATAAAATTTTATACTAACTAAATTATTTTTAAAGAGAAAAAATTTAAATGAAAATAAACATTCTGAATACTTATTTTCAACTATGAAAAATTTTCAGTAAAGTAGAATAAATAAATAAATAAATGTGCAAAAATTAAAGATATTGGCAGAAGATTGCCAAACGTTTTAAATTGGCTATTGTTATATTTAATGCCTATTTTTGATTAATTAAAGTAGTTTTTAATAAAAAAAATTATGTTTTAATTTGAAGAACTTAAATTCTACTTCAAATTCAAACAATTTTTATTAAAAATTGCTAACATTCTAATTCAAATTTATAAGCAGAACTTAAGATTGAAATTTTGGATTAACTTGATGATGTTCTTATCAAAATTAGTAGAAACCAAACAGTATTTCAAAATTTACAATTCCATATTCAGAAACAAATTTATCCATTAATTAAAATAAGAACAGAACAAAATTTACAAAGTTTTTTTTAAAATTAATTATTATATTCTATATATAGATGCTTAATAAAAAAGCATCTATATATTTCTTATAATATTTAATTTAAAAAAACTTTTAATGTATTTTTAGAAACGGAGTTATGAACTTCAAAAATGTTTAAGCAAAATAAATGTTTTACCTTTTATATATTATGAACAATTGTGTTTTTGACTGTTGTAAGATTAAGGTATTTATCGTAAAGAATTTTTAAAAACGGAATTTAAAATTTATGATCTGTTTATACATACTGGCATCATTTTCAAGAATTTTCTGTTTTTCTTCTTTTGGCAATGCACTCAAATTAAAATCATCTTCCTTTGAAGATTTTTCAAATGAAGCAAGAGGATAACCAAATACAACAGATGCTCTCCTACATACATGTTTAATACGTGGCCCATTTTTACTTTGAATCTCTACATCAGAAGTGTAGTTATCATTAGCTGCAGATGTAATAAATAAGAAAACAATTTAAATCAGAAATACAATAATGCTCTCTGATTATTTAATAAATTCATTAAGCATCATTATTACATAAACATGAATTCAACTACATTCACTTACAAATATATAAAGACTGATTTTAATAGGTCACTAAATTACTTTTCTGTAATTTTTAAGGAATCCTCTGTAATCTTTTTTTAATTTTTCTGTATTTAATTCAATCTAAAACTTTATACCATGTTTCAGTTCAACAATTAAATTATGATTAAAATGTAAACATTATGATCAAAATTTTAAACTACATAACTTAAAATTCTATTTGATTGAATATGAATTGAGTAATCAATGTTAGAAAAATTAACAAAACTATCTGACCTAGTCTTATTAAAAATGTGTAAAATAAGAAATATAAATTAAATTTGATAAATAAAACATTATTAATTAAAAAAACTGAAACAAATATTAATGTATTTTTAAAGTTGTATATAGAATCTCATTTTCAGAAGTGAGTATTTTAAAATACAAAGAATAATATTCAAAAGTCTTCAATGTTTTATGTACCTTTCTTCATTAGTATAAACTCCAAACAAATTGGAAATTATTAAATGATAATTTAAGCTGAATAAAGATGTAGAATTAATAACAAGCGAAATCAATGTAACAGAAAGAAAAATTATATATAAGAAAATCAAAATATAAACCTCCAGATGACCAAAAAATCAAAATATAGATTTAAAATAGAATTTTAAAACATCAACTGGAACTATATAATGTTCTAATAAATAACACTAAATGCAACGTCCAGCAAATTGTTACTTGTTGTTTGCTGGAAATTGCATTTAGGTGTTATTAAAATAGAATTTCTCTTAATGAATAAATGACAAATTTTACTCATTTTTACAGAATATGACAGAGTTTAATTTTAAAGATGTATCCTTAGAATTTTATGTAAATAATATATACAGTTTTAAACTGTACACACAAAATTTTATATCATCTTATCTGTATCAAAAACATAATAGAAATCTCAACAAAAAATATGATACTAAACATGACCTTTATTTGCTCCTAACATAAAAGTTACTGTAAATGCTGGCATATAAGTCAACATCAAGATTTTCAGCTTAAAATTCTGGTTTAGATTATACCTGCCTTATAAATTGATTTCCAAATATACAATAGACTACCAAAGGAAAGAACTAAAATCTGGAAATAATACATGATAATCAATGGCAAATGCAGAAATATCATCATATCATTCATCAAGACACTGAAAATTCTTTCAATATATATTATATAGCTCATAAACATTGCATATAACCAATATTCAGCAAGAAGAAACTACAAAGATATGTGGTGTTTATTATCCTATACCCAGTTTTGAGTAGTTGAATTTATTGAAGCGAAGTGTTAGTGAAGCTTCTTCTATGAGGCTTACAGAATTGTGTTTGTTCTCAAAATCCATTCGATCAATTTTGATTAAACTGCCATTTTCCATTAATTGCAATGCGGAATCCAAAAATGCAATAAAAAGGGGAGGTCTATGATTTTGTTTTTGAGATATAAGGTAGTTTCACAATCATGTACAATAAAGCAATATTGCACAAATCGCAAGACTTTGCCAATCGATGTTTCATGGTTGCTAGCACATCTTGGATGGACTTATAGAATTAAGTTTGCTCTCAAAATTTAATAGATTGATTTTGACAAAACTTTTCCATTTTCCATTAATTGAGATGAGGAATCCAGAAATGTAATGTAGATCCATTTAAATGTAAAAAATCTAGCAATAAAATGCTTAACTTTCCCTGCAACATTTAAAATTCTGGTGGCCCTATCTGTTATGATATTTCATTAATTAAAAAAACTGTTTACATTTTTAATTATTATAAAATGGCAAAAAGCTTAATTTTGAGAATAGGAATGGGTTTTATAAAAACTTGTAAATGCTAATAATGAGTAAAATCGCCATTAAGTCCAACCCTACTTGAGATATGACACATGGCCACCCTTTATCTCCCAACCCTGTTGACGTTAAACCACCAAAATTAATTTCATAAATCTTTCTAATACACAAATCTTCCTGAAAAATTTCAGAAATTTTCGAAAGTACAGGAGTTATTAAGTTTCAAAGAGAGTAAACAAAACTGTGCCCCCCACACACACAGACACATCCATACACAGAAAAAAACTCTGAATGTTTTTGCACATCTCAATGTTTCAAGATCCTGAATCCAAAAACTTAAAAATCTTGGGGGGAGTCTATTTTTGACTGTATGCCATACTTTCTCTGTTATTTATAACAGAGCCAAGAAAATAAAAACACTGTCCATGACTTCATTTTCAATATACAAAGGTATTACAGTGACAATGTTCATGCTTTCTGCATGATGAGCACACCTAACAGAATTTAGGCCTAGGGGTGAAAAATAAAAACAATGTTTGTATGCCTAACAGACAATGTGTGAAAAACAAACCAAACACAAGAACAAAGCAATTGCCATTGACTGCTTTGTTCTTGGATTGACTTTCCATACCTGACCAGTGATTGTCTCCCAAGCAGGTACAAGAATAGCCTCTTTTATAAAAGTAAGTGAAGTGCAAAGTTCACCTGTCTGTGTCTGTCAGGTATTGTACAAGAATTGCTTCTTTCCTTCTGGCTCTGCCTCAATTCTATCATGATATGACAAAGTCACACAATGTCCTGGTACAGCTCATACAAAAGGGATATAAGCAATGGGATCTATGAAGGACACCAAGGGTAAACTAAAATGTTCAGTAAATTACTCAGTAAGAACTCTATGTGCCTACCAATAAATACATTCAAGGAAAAATCAACATCTCCAATAAAATATTTCTATTATTACTACACAGGAAAGTATCATGATAGGACCACTGTATATGATATGTGATAGTACAACACTGTAACAAGCAGGGTTTATACTAAAAAAAAAAACTTTTTAGAAATTGAAAACTAACCTTTCTTTTCAAACTAGAAAATATTTTTAAGTAAACTTTTTTGTTACTTAATCTAGCTATAATAATTGAAAATATCTACTAGTACTTTCTCAAAACCTTAAAAACGACCATATTTAGGGAAAGGGAGTGTTTTTATACAGAAATTAACTTTTCTAATCAATTGTTTAATAAGAGACAGGTGATAGATCTTTCTTAGAAACATTTTAACGTATAAAGGTTATTAAAAGAAAATTTTATTTACAAACTGAATAATATGCTATAGTTTTCATTTAATGTTTTATAAATTGAACATAATGCTAACTTTTTAATCAAACATAAGTATAAACATTTTAGTCATTCTTTGGTATTTTGCAAAAAAAAGATGTTACTAATGATTTAGTTATCACTCTAGCTTCTCAACTTCCTTTTTCAAAAGATCACCTTTACTCTGTACTGCTTTAGATGTTTCCAGCATTGCCCAAGCTATTCTCACTTCTGATAAATGACTTTCCTTCAAGGCTTTATTCTGCTTTATTCAAAAGTGTTTAGCTTTTTTCTTCTAGTACCTCCTCCAACTTCTGTATGCCTTCTTTCTGCTTATACAAATCAAGCAACTGTTCTTTCTCTTTGTGGACATTCTCTTATTTCTCTCTTCTTCTTTCCTCTTTCTATTTTCTTTTACATTCCATCTCTAAACAGGCATTGCAGCTGGAATGAATACTGTGTACAAGAGGCAAAAACTCTTTTCTAATGGGAATTGTTTCAGGTTTCCTCTAAACATTTTAATATAATTGCTTGTGTGTTGTCCCACATTGAGCACCCACATTAACAGCCTTGTTTTTATCTCCTGTTAGAATCCTTATTGACTTAAAATCCTCTTTCTACATTAATAATCCTATTCAACAGAGCCTTTACTATTTTTTCAATGTTCAAATATTTCCCACTGTTGTCAACAATCTTAATGGTGAATCTCTCTCCAGTAATGTTCTATTCTCACAAACTTACCATTTTTTTCTGTGCTAGAAAGACTACTCTCTTCACTTTGTAACTATCATTCATCTTGTAGTTCAACAACAGCAACAGGTGTTTCAAATAAAATTTTTTGAGCAATATTTGTAATGTCATGGCAACTAGATTCAGATATTCTTCTGAAGGATTCAAGTATCTGAAATTTTTTTTGTACAGTACTTTCTCATTTCATCAGTGTTTGCAACTAGAAATGTAATGTTGCTGAATTTCTTTCAAAAATTCCAGCCAATTTTTTTCTGATGATCCTTGAGCAAAGAAACAACTTCATTGTTTATGATCTCATCACTAGCAGGCAAGAGATTAGTCAAAGCAAAAACGACAACAGAGTAAGTTCATTCAGCAAGTTCTTGTTCTTTAATACTTCTGGCTTGCAAACTCATCGTATAAGAAAAAGAAAGTTTTTTGAATTCATCATAAAAGATATGGACCAGTGGTTCTTCATGCTAGAGAAAGCCAGTGAATCAAGAGAATGAACTTTCTCACCACACCAGGTTGTATATACTCAAAATAAACAACAACCTACAAATAACCATTAACCGGTGTGAAATTCTTCAAAAAATCAGTGAACATTTTTGATGTCCCTCCTGGGCTCTTCTTCAGGCTTATTTTTATATCTTCTGTTGTAACTTATATCTTCCATTCAAATTAAAGAATCCAGTTACAATGAAAGATATAAAAATAAGCCTGAAGAGCCCAGGAGGGGCATTGAAAACGTTCGCCGATTTTTTGAAGAATTTCACACCAGTTAATGGTTATTTGTAGGTTGTTGTGTATTTTGAGAATCAAGAGAATACTTTGGCAATAGGAAATGCTAAACTGAACTTCTGCCTTAAAACTTGAAGAGTTCAAAGGAGTTGAAATTGTTAGCATAGTTTGCACTTAACATGATCTTCAGTTGCTATAGAGGTACAAACTTCAAAAAGTATTTATTACAAGCATCCCACTGCTCCAGCTATCTAGTTGCTGCAGATTCCAGATCAGCCAACTATAAAGTACATACTTTATAATCTGT